AAGCCACGCCTAAAGGAATTCTTTAATTATTGCTGTACAGCAAGACATTATTTTTTCATGTTAAAAAATGCGAAGAAAGTGATTGTTCGATTTGTCTACCTCCTCAGTGTCCACCTGAGATATTTGCTCAACTTCATCGTCTTCCTAATCCAATTCCGGGAGAAGATCTTCACTACAAAACTTTTGAAGAGCTTTATGGCACTGTGACTACAGAAAATTACCGACCTTCACGACAAATAGCAACTTCCAAAACAAAATCCAATAAAGAAGAAAATAAAAAAAAAGGAAAAGTTAATCATACAATGCCCTTCTGCCCTTTTGCCCTTCTGCATTACGTGCTAAGAACGTTGGAATTACTGTTAACTGTATGGAATATAATAAACCACGGCTCTTGTTCAGCTCAAAAAAATTATCAGACAAAAACCGTCAAATACTTGCACAATTCCTAGATACTATTTGGTATACATATAGTGCAACATTTAACAATATGCAGGAGTTATCACTTGCTACACCAGTAGCATGATCCATACAATATTATAAAGTAAGTACACTTTCTGATGAGCATGAAAGCAACGATGAGGTAAATTCAGTTGCCAGTCAAAATATTGACGATTTGTTACCTTCCATACTAGCTACACCAACCGACCAACACCATGAAACAGATATACTTTCTGAAAAATATAGTAACAGCAATGATAAGATGAACTCAGTTGCCAGTTCTAATCAGTATTATTCAGAATATGCCATTAGCGATGTTGATGATATTGATAGTGTTGATGATATTGAAGATGTTGACGATATTAAAGATGTCGAAAGTGATGATAATGAGCAGAACGAACAAGATGATCACGAAGAAAAAAATGAATTGGAAGATTCTTACTCTAAAAAGTATAGTAACAAAAGCACAGATAACATAATTGATGACTCTATCCAGGAAATCTTCAAGTATGTTTTTGTTAACGATTCCTGGACATGTGCTTCCTCTGTTGAAAAGCCATACTATTTGGCAAAAATCTATCCCAGCATTTGTTATCTATGTGGTGATCCTGATGTTACTCAGCCTATGTCAAAAGGTTTATTACCAACTTGCAAAAACTGTTCTACTATGAATAGTTCAACTAAGCGTCATGGAAATAAATTAGTTAACAGAAGAAAAATTAAAAACTTTTTAGACAAAGCTTAAAATCACATTTAGGAAATGTAGTATCAACTAAATAATAATTATCCTATTACAGTCCAAATTTGTAGTAACATAAAATTGATAAATAAAAATAGTGGTCTTTTATTAAAGTTAACATTATGAATTACAATACTATTAAACATTAAATATTCAAGTTTTAAAAAATACCTAAATTAGTGGACAATACTTAGTATTCATGTAGATTAAAATGCTAATAAAAGTTCATTTTGATTATAAACGATTGAGAAAGAAAATAGGTAACTTAACCTGGTTATGAACAAGTAAAAAAAATTTTTTTTTTTTTTAAAGACGAACAGTGCTATATATAGTATAGTATTCCCCCAAGCGATTTGTGCGATGAGGTATTATGGGTACTATAGGCAGTGCTGTACTTGAAAACTTGCTTACACGTGTAATGACATAATTGTTTTTTAATCAGTGAATTATTTTTTATTTAATTGGCTATCGCTATGTAGCGTGATAATAAAATTTAAATTTTTATATAATAAATCTTATTTTATGACCCGCATGCGACTCGGTATAGATTGTTATATTTAGAAAATAGTAAAAGTTAAAATTTTTAATTTATTTTTATAACCCGGCCGGGTTATGAGAAACAGAAAAATTATTTTTTTTGGCCTTATTTTTATTAATTATTGTATTTAACTTCTATTACGATTGTTAAAATTAAACAACTGTTAAGCACTATATGATTTTTGCATATACCTTAGCGAATTTAATACAACAAAAAGTACAAAAAGATTTGTTCTTATGACAAAACAACTTCTACTTTTACAAATTGATTTATTACAATAACAGCTATCATTTTTCTTTAATCTTGTTTAGTTTCTTGGTTGGATATTTTATTTGCAATATTTAGTAGTCAGATTAGTTTTGTTGAATACTAGCATTTCGTAAAGAAATAAATTTACTTATTAAAATTATATCAAGTTTAGAAAATTCATTAGTACTTAAAGGTTCTAATTCATTCGCTGAAAACTATGTATTCAAAATTTCAAACTTGCTTCCAACTTGATATAAGTTGCTTATTTATCTATTTTTAGTTTTTTTATTAAGATTATAAATCATTTAATGGCTCTGAGTAACATGTTAATTTGCTACCATGATTATGTTTAATTTAAAGGTATTAAAAACCTAATACTTAATGTTAAAGTTCAAATTTTCATATTTATTTAACAGGTTTTGTAAAATAGCTAGGCAATGATCATACTTTGAATAATTTATTATATGTTTTTTGTTTTTTCTATTGTTCATATAATCATTAATAGTTTTTTAAAAGCTTTGAAATGAAGCCATATTATGGAAGATAAAATTAGTTTTTTTTTTATAATTAATAAACTCTTATATTTGATATTAAACTTGAGTTTAATTAACATACATATATGTTATGTATAAATTTTATATACAACTGATAATCATTAGTTTTTTTTTTTTATTATTTATTAATAATACTATTTTTTTATTTTAATACACTTTTTTTCTTATTTTAATACACTATTTTTGTTTATTTTAAACATTGTTGGTGTTATTATAGCTTGAAGACGTCGTTAGTTTTGTCATAGCTTGGAGACGTCATTGGTGTTGTCATAGCTTAAAGATATCATTGGTGTTGTTATAGCTTGGAGATGTCGTTGATGTCATCATAGCTTGAAGATGTTGTTGGTATAGATTTTGTAGATATGATCATTGCCTTTGTGCCATTTTGTGCTATCATTGATAAATTTTCATTATATTTAGTGTTGTATTGCCACTGCTATATAATTTAGTACCAGTGTGCTATATTAAGCCTCATCTTTGTCCTTTGCAATATTGTGAAATAGCCAAGGTGGCCCAGGATCTCGAAGAACTCTGATATAACTCATATGTTACCAAAAAAAAAATTTTTGCATAGAAATTCATTAAACATTGCATTTTTATATAGTAAATTTTCAAATTTTGCTCTATTTTATATATCTATTTGGCTAAAATTATACAAACTTTATACAAACTTAGATCTAGATTGTATTAGAGTTCTTTGAGATCCTGGCGGCCCTCCCAAAGTGCTAGTGATGTAATCACTTCAACAATTAAGTAATACTATATATATTAAATTATCACTTATTGTTAAATATATAGTATTATCTGATTAGTGAAAATAATTATGTCATTGGCACTTTGGAGAGCTGCTCTGGCTATTTCCGATGTTGTTGAGGTAGGCTTTTCCAGCCTATTTATTCTTGTTGTGAATCCTGAAATATAATTTTTTACTTATTCATTCTTGTTTTCTAGCTTGTGAGCATATAGATTTTTATTTTCTTGATTCAGACTTAGGTTCCTGGTTGGGTGATACTATTTACTATATTGTTAAACCATGTTCTATTTTTTTCTAGATAAATTTTGCTTGTTCTCTTGATTTGAGATTTAGTAGAGTGTTGGGATATAAAATTATTTGGTTTAATAAAATTGGAAGTAAGACCAGCCAGAGAGTTTAAATAGGTAACTCTAGTTTGAGTTGCAGGTACAAACATCTAGTGTAGATGGTGTCAAAGGCACAATGGCTAGTTGTACTCTTATTGTGAATACAATTTGTATAAAATCAAATGACTATATACAGTATAAAACATCTTAAAAACTTCAATAAACTCAAGTCTCCAGACACTAAGTTAAAAAAAAAACTATTAGGCTAATTTTGATAATCTAACTATACCATATTAAAATAATTCTTTTTTTTTTTTTTGGTATTAAAAGGTATTAAAATAATTCTCTTTATAACTTTATTTAAATTTTAAAGTTATTTTTATTCAATAAAAAGTTAATTTTTTGTTTCTCATAACATATAATTTTAAAAAATGACCCGGCAACCCAGCTTTTAATTTTATTTTCAGAAAATTTTATATAGAAAAAATATAAAATTTTTTTATAGAAAATTTTTTATAAAAAAATTTCACCCGGATAATAAATAGTCAAAATTTTTTTTCAAAGTTTTGCAAAATTTGACCCGGCCGGGTTATGAGAACCAATTTATTAAGCTTGTATGGCCTAATAAATTCTTAAAAAACTATAATTGGATTCAATGTAAACCCCAAAGTAAACTCACTTCGGGTCCAAAGTGAATCCACTTCGGTCCAATGAACCCACTTCGGGTCCAAATAAACCCACTTCAGGTCCAAAGTAAACTCACTTCGGGTTCAAAGTGGACCAACTTCGGGTTCAAAGTGGACTCAAAATAGGTCCACTTCGGGTTCAAAGTGGAAACCCACTTTGTTAAACCACTTCGGGTTCAAAGTGGAAACTTATTTTGTTAACCCACTTTGGGTTCAAAATGAACCCACTTAGAGTTTATAGTAAAACCTCTTTGAGTTTATATAGTAAATCTAAAAATAAATTCACTAAATAGTTTAAAATAAATTTAATTTTTCCCGTGCGTTGCACGGGTTTATAGTAATATATATAGTTTATATTGCTTACATCTTTCGAGAATAGCTATATAATTTAAATCATTAGTCTCTTGCATAGTTAATATATATGTTTTTAATAAAATAATCAAATTCTTAAAATTTAATATTAGCCAAAAAACCCTAAATTTATCTGAGAATTTAAAAGAACAGTATAACATTAGAGAAAAAGATTAAAAAATTATGATCCAGTTTAAACACCTATGAAATTCATTAAATAAACATACACCCTATATAAATTTAAATAAAAAAACCAATGTTCAAAATATATGAAAAACTAAGTATTCGGAAACAAACCAGCTCAACAGATGTATTTATTATAAAAAGTAATATGAGTATGTTACAAATTGAAAGTGCACTCAAGATCAAGGACGTCGAGAAGACAACCAATTATTTGCGTTTAAGAATTGAGATGAAATATCAGAAGATATTACTCCACTCGTCTTAAGTGATTTTATTGCGACCAAAACCTTTGAAATGAAAGACATTAATTATGTGTAAAGTAACTCGAACAAGTAAAATAATAGATTGAATACCTCATCCCAGAACGTAAATCCATTTTCAAGATCAGTCTTAACATTTGTACACGCAGTGAAGATTTCCTCAATTTTCTTGAGTGAATCCGACTTTATGTTTTTATCATTTTCTTTTGATAGAGTGACAGTATTTTCAAGATATGTTTTGACGATAATACCCAGCCCACAGTTAGCGTCATATAAAAAGGGCAGACTGTACAAATAGAGTGATCGATTTATAAAAGGCAAACGCATAGTGATCGTAAATTAATCGTTAATTAGTATTAACAAACCTTAACGCAATGTCAAGATAATCTTGGCGATCTTTTTCGCAATCCCCGTTTAAAAACATCGATAAAGTTAACATTTCACATAGATTGCGTAATGATCGATTTAATGCTTTAACAAAGCTGTTAAAAACCAACATTTCTCTACATAAAGGTCCACTCCATGGTGCACTCTGAATTTACGTATATATTGTCAGATATATTGACCTCTAATAATATATAATAAAATATATGTACCTTATGTTTTACAGGAACTAAACTAAGAGTCCTCGAAATTAGAAGAATATGCCTTTTTTCTTCTTCTGTAAATTATATTTATCAATTAGAGATAATATAAGATTTATTAGTCCGGAGCGAAGCGGAGGACTCTATATTCCCTACGCAAAGTGATAAATATGCTTGCTTGTCCTTCCCGCACACGCGATGATATATTTAGTTCTTAACTCCGGACTTATAATGCTACGCATTTACCTAGTATTTTTCAAAGAACACGAGTCATACATACCACTCACGCAATTAGGCGCAACATAGTATATCCTACTGTAATGATTACCGTGGAGATAGCCAAATCTAATCAATTCTAGAGCACTAAATAATTGCTCATGATGAGATTCAGTTGACTTAGCAGAGTTAAGAGCCTTTTTGAAAGCAACACCCCAATCGGTATGGGTATGTTGGGCATGTGTTAAAAACCTAAATTAACATGTTGAATTTAATAATATGTGTAATAAAAATTTATATTGAACTTAATAATATATAGAATGAAAATATATAATTTGACGCACTCTCGTAATTCCAAAAGTTTCCACAATACATTTCCTATAATTTCATCCTTGGAATCAATAGGTTTGTCATTATTTTTTGGCATAATGGTCTTTGCAGCTTGCTCTTCGGTTGCTGTTGCTCTCAGGCAAAAAGTTATATCAATAACAGAAGTCTAGAATCCAATTTTTATAATTAATATAATATGTAAACGAGCGTTTAGCACTGCTTATAATATCCTCATAAAATCATATCCCCATGGTTAAGAATCAAACACTATCATAACTCATATACCCGGGGTATAACTGTATTCATTTATTACTTTCCATATGGGAGTATAGTAGCAATTCTATACGAAGTACCTTGGGTACTATAAGCAGTTCTAAATAGTATATGTGTTTACTACGTACCTTTTGTGCTTTCTTCTCTTCTTCTAACCCTCTTTCCAAAACATTCCAAGTATTTAATGTTTCATGAACACTCGGAGCAACATTATGGTTTAAAGGATGTTCATTGCCAGATTCAAACCAATAAACACTCACAACACGTCTAGATTGATAAAACTGGTGTAGAGGCTGGGTAAGTAAGCCCATTGCTTGTGTGCGAAGATCAAGTATTTGTTTCAGGAATTGTTTATATTCTTGTGTTTCGCCGTTGCATAGGGGCGGATTTTCAATAAGAACACCGGATATCAAAGTGTTAATAACCTATAAAGATGAAGTTTAAATTCAGATACTGTAATAGAAGTCATACAATCATTTTATCATAGTTGCCACAAGAAAATTGATCTGTAATACCTGTGGAGACATTAACCCTCTGGATAAATAAAAATATACTTCGTCTGGTAAACGATAACCAATTACATCATGAATATCGCTCGGTGATGTTTCTGCATTTAATGGTTCTACTTTTCCTTCATCTGTCAATACCATGTGGAATTTAATAGCACACCTAGTACGACAGAACGTTTCTATGTAGTTTGTCTTTTGGACACCCGCATGATCTGCATAACCTTGAACAGCATTGAAACCGTTTCGGTACTGTTTAATTAGATCATGAACACCTTTAAAGCTGAATCCACTGAATTCAGAGTTTAGTGGCGGAAAAGTGCCACAATATTCGAAACCGGCGAGAATGCAAACATCCAAAAATTGATCATCGGTTAATTGAAGGTCAGCAAGTATTGACTTTTTGCTAAGCCATGAATATGTGCATTTCTGTTAATATATAATATTAAGAAATACTTGAAATTTATTATTATTATTTTTTTTTTTCAAAAAAAAAAAAATTTAATAGC